GAGAACGGTCTTCCCGGACGCGGACGGCGCGCACAGGATGCCGTTGGAGGGCGTCCTGCAGACCGCCGGGTCTCGCGGCTGCTTGACGGTAAACTCCACGCTCGGAAAGAGCTTCACTTTTCCCATTTAACCAAAGCGCCCTGTAGCACTCGTAGCACATTTACGTGATGTTCCCCTCGTGCCACGGCCCCCGCAGGCGCATGGGGTGCGGCGGCGGTGCGCCGGGGCTGGACATGAGCCACAGCGCCGTGATGACGCCGGCCAGGGCCAGTCCGGCGCAGAGGCACTCGCTGGGCTCCAGCCCGACGCGTTCAAACAATCGCATCTTTGTTCTGGCGTAAGGAAAACCGGGATGAGCTCAGACCAGCGAACCTTGCCGACCATGGCGATCCAGCTCGGGGAGCTTTTGACCAACACCAAGGGCGGCAAGAGCCTGCCCCTGCGCCGCGAGGGCAGCAGCGAGCCCGTCGTGTGGCAGTCCGCCGAAGTGCAGAAGATCATCTGGCAGCCCTCGGCCTTTAACGACGCCGACGCCAAGCGCGTGCCCATCTGCCTCGAGCCCGAGGAGACCGCCGGGCGGGAGCTGGAGGAGATCGAGAAGCAGGTGGTGGAGCTGCTCTCCAAGCAGTCCACGTCGGACACCAAGATCTTCGGCAAGTCCCTGGCGCCCCACGAGGTGGAAGCCCGCATGCAGAGCTGCCGGAGGACCAGCATCCTCATGGAGGTCACCGATTTGATGCTCATGGAGGCGGCGCCGCCCCAGATCCAGTGTCCGTTCTGACGTAAGGCTTGAGCTCCTCCGGGAAGCCTGGGTCTTCGCAAACCTGCGGGAGCGGCGAGTCCGGTTGGGCCTGGTCGTAGCACAGATACACGACCTCGAAGTCCTGGCGCGGCGGCTCGCGGACGGCGCGCAGGAGCCGGGCATGTCGCTCGCTCTGCGGAACCTCCGCCAGCTGCCCGCCCACGCCGAAGCAATCGGGATTGAACCGGACGAAGCGCAGGGGCTGCTTCGAGTGCCGGGCCCGGACCTTGAGCATGCGCTCCGCCTCCTCCGCCTGCTCGCGAAGACAGTGGGCGCCCTCGTCGACCTCCAAGGCGCAGAGGCCCCAGTCCATGCGGAGCAGGAAATCCAGGCGCGCCAGGCCGCCGCCCTCGAAGTCCACGCGCACCTCGCGCTCGAAAGCCAGGCCCTCCTCCTCGAGCAGGCGGGCCACGCGCTCCTTTCTTGAGGACCGGTGCACGAAGCCCTTGCGGGTGGATGGCCTGGTGCTTCTTCAGGTCGGCGGCCTTGTGGAAGCGCCGGTCGCACTCGGTGCAGGCGTGCGGGCGCACGTCCTGGTGCGCGATGCGCGCGTGCTCGTCGAGCGCCTGCTTGTAGCCGAAGGCCTTCGGGCACTGCGGGCACTGGAACGGCTTCTCGCCAAGGTGCACCGCCTTGAGGTGGGCCCGCATGACGCCGGCGCGCGAGAAGACCTTGGCGCACTGTGCCGGTCATGGCTGCGAATTGTTGGAGGGGATCGGGTCCTCTGCCTTTGACCCTATAGGGCGCAGCCCCGCCCGGTGCCTCTGGGCCCTCCCAGGGGCCTGTGGCGGTTTGAACGCGCCTAGAGCACGGACAGCAGCTCGGCGCTGGTGGCCCTCGAGGCGCCCACGTACAGGTGGCGCAGCTCGAAGTGCGGGCTGGCGGTGTCGCACAGATGGACCCGCCCCCGTAGCGTGAGGCCCTGGCAGCTGGCGTAGGTGATGGCGTGGCACAGCCGCGTGTGGCGCAGGAGCTCCGCGTGGGTGAAGCGCTCCCCCGTGTGGAGCTTGACGTCGTCGGGGCCCGCTTCGGCGACTATGACGAAGCAGCCCTTGGCCACTCGCATCGTTTGCGGAGCATTGGTGCCGGCCGCGGCCCGACCCGCGTAGGTGATTATGACCGCATCCTCCGGGGCCAGCCTCCGGTTGTGCTGCTCGTTGAGGCGCATCCGGTTGGCGTGGCTGATCACCAGGCAGGTGTCCGGCTGCCCGCGCCTCGGGAAACGCTCCCGGGCCAGCTGCAGCGCCTCGCGCAGCGGCGGCTCCTCCGCCTCGTCCACCCGTAGGTACCGCAGGAAGCCGAAGATGGCGTCGTCGCTCCGGTGGTTCTCCGAGAGCTCGTGGTAGTAGCCGCCCGCCAGGTCGTGGAGCAGCCGAGAGTCCTTGAGGGGCTTCGTCACCGGCGCTCCCCCGAAGGCGTCCAGCACCGCCGGCAGCTGCCGGAAATCCCCCAGGAGCAGGAACTTCACCTTGGGGTTCAGGGAGAGCTCCGCGATGTCGGCCCACAAACTGGAGTCCAGCTGGGTGATCTCCTCGATGACCAGGCGGTCCAGCTGGCAGCTACCGTTCCGGATGGACCTGCGCACGAAGCGGTCCGCCGTCTGCGCCCCGGCGCCCAGGTTCTGCACGGAGCAGTGGGTCTTGGACACGAGCTTGACCACCTCCCCGAGCTCGCAGAGCTGCGCCACGATTTGGCGCGCCAGGTGCGTCTTCCCGGTGCCTGGCATGCCCGACAAGAGCAGGCTCTTCCCGTTGAGGCAGTGCAGGAGGGGGTCCTCCACGCGGTGCCACTCCGGCGCGAAGGTCAGGCGGGCCGCCTCCATGCGGGGCTCCCGGTACTCGCCCTCCAGGCGCTTGCACTCTTCGAAGCGGTACACTTGGGTGCCGTCGGGGTGCTGCAGGGCCGTGAGCTCCCGCACCGCCGGCAGGAACTTCTTGGGCAGGTCCTGGAAGACCAGGCAGTCCGTTTTGAGCGCGACGATGTAGCGCGGCGGCACTTGCTGGAGGTGGCGGCGGATCTTCGCGACGGCCACGTGCTCCTGAGCCATGACGTAGTCGTGGAGGGGACGCAGCGTGTAGTTGCTGTAGAGCTCCGTCGCGTGGATGTGGTCCCAGTGCACCTTGCCGGCGGCGTCCGTGAAGGTCTGGCGCCACTGGCAGCCCTGGCCGTCCAGCTCGTGGTTCGAGGTGCGCATGGAGTAGACCAGCTCCTGGTTGCGGGCCCAGAGGCCGATGAGCGCGTTCACCGAGAGCTTGGCCATGTGCTCCTCGCCGTCCGGCCAGGCGTCCTCCATGGTTTGCAGCGCCTGCGCCAGGCAGCGGGGCTCCACGTGCGCCGTGGCGTCCAGGGACCACTTGAAGTCGGCCCAGGTCGCCAGCCCTACGTCGAGCAGGTACGCCGCCGCGGGCTTGCTGCTCCAGCCCCGGCCCAGGTAGGGGAGCCGCGGGAGCAGGGCCTGCCGGTCGTCCCTAAACAGGTCCACGCAGGTGAGCCCGTCCCTTGAGGGCTCTATGGAATCCAGAGGGCTGAAGACCGGCAAAGGGAAGGTGGCGTTGGCCAGGGCGTTCTTGCGGCAGCGCACGACGTCCACGCCGTGGCAGATCCGCTCGGGGTCGCACTTGGCCAGCTTGCAGACCAGCGCCGGCGGGCGCGGGCTCTGCACGTAGGCTTCGTGCACGCCGCGGCACACCCGGCTCTCCAAGGAGGGTCTTGTTCCGGTGGCACTCCAGGCACAGGGCCTGTAGGAGTTGGGGCTGGCCCTCCAGGGCCTGGTGCACGGGGACGATGTGGTCGAGCTCGCAGCAGCCCAGCTCGATCTGCATCCAGGACTGGAGGACCTCGGCGTCTTCGGGGTACTGCGTGACGACGCAGTCGGGGCTGTCCTTGACGCGCAGGCGCAGGGCCCGCCAGTCGCACAAGGAGCGCATGGTGACCTTGGGCTGGTGCCCCTGGGCCAGGAGCGCGGCGCGGACGCTTCGGAGGTCCTCGGCCCAGAAGTGGCCCGACTGGATGCGGCCGGCCCAGGGGCGCCACTCGGAGAAGGGCGGCACCGTGGACTCCTTCCGAGTGCCGCGGTAGAGGCCCTCGTTGCCTGGTGCGTCGTCGCAGTGGGAGACCGCCCGGGCCGACTTGTAGAAGAAGGCGTGGGCCTGGTAGCACGTGAAGGCCACGGCCTTGTTCTCCTTGACGGGGGGCTGGTAGGCGTCCAGGAGCTCGCCGCGGCAGCTCACGAAGAACATGGGAGCGCCGCGCCAGGCGCAGAACTCCCGGATCTCCAGGGCGGTGATGCCCCGCTGCTCCCAGCCCTTGTCGGGAGAGGACCTCGGCCAGGGGGAGCTGCAAGAGCTCGGCCAGCTGCCTGGCCACGCTGAGCTTGTCGTTCCGGGTCTCGAAGGCGCTGGGCAGGATCTCGGAGCCGTTGTAGAGCTGGTAGCTGATTTCGTGGTAGGCGCCCATGGGCTGCCGCAGGGAGACCTGCACCTGGGCCCTGTTGTCGACCACCTCCAAGGTTTGCTTGGAAAAGGCCCAGTCTCGGGTGGCGTCGTAGCGGTAAACCTCCTGGGAGAGCTCCATCTCCGTCGTTGGGGCCGCCCAGCTGCCTCAGGGCGGCCTCCTTGACGCGGGCGTGGGCCTGCTGGTCGCTGAGGCCGCTGGACTGCCGGGAGAGCGACCCGTTGACCACGGTGATGGGGAGGAAGTCGTCGCGCTGGTAGGGCCGGCCGGCGTTGCGGCCCCTTTGGCGGGTGCCGGTGATGCGGACGGGGACGTGGGCGAGCAAGTCGGTGTATTTGTCGCGGAAGAAGGCTTTGCCCAGCTTGGTGAGGTGGTAGTTGCCGTCGGGCTGCAGGGAGCGCACGGGCTTCTTCAGCCCGGAGCGGAGGAGGATGTAGTCCGTGGGCCCCTCGCGGATGAGGGGCTGCTCCTCGTCGAACTGCCTGGAGGGGGGCCGGCCTCCCACCAGGCCGTAGTAGAATTGGCCCGCCCTGGTGAGCTCGCCGTTGGGGCGGGACAGTAGGACCTCGCGGAGGCGGTTGTTGGCGAGGGGGAGCCGCTGCGAGCCCTGGGCGTTCGTCCTCGCTCTGACGCCGCCCTGGGCCGCTCGGCGGATGGCTTCTCGTTGCTGTGCCCAACTAGACATGGTGTGAGTTTTCTAGGGCGAGGCGTCGGCGGTCTCGGCGGATGAACGAGGCCCGGAGGCCTAGACCAGCAGCTGCTTGATCTTGCCTTCGTCCTCGACGTCCTCCAGCTTGCTCCGGAGGGGTCGGCCGGTGAGCCGGTCAAGGCCGGCGCCGCGCGCCAGGTGGCGGTTGCAGCGGTAGCGGGCCGTCGTGCACCGGACGGCGAGGCGCAGCAGCGCCTGCTCCAGGGCGTGGCGACGCGCCTGGGCGGGAGACATCCTCTCCACGGTGATCTGCAGGGCCCGGAGCTCGTGCTGCGGCAAGCGGCAGTTTTCGGCGAGCTTTTGGTGGAGCATGTGGTGGAACACCACCGTGCGCGCAAACAGGGGACCGTAGCGGAGCAGCCGGCAGGACCCCAACAGCGCGAGCGCGTCCCGCGCCAGCGGCATGAATTCGTGGTTGTACGCGAGCGCCTCGAACATGCGCTCGGCCATGCGGCGGCGCTGGCAGAACTGGTCGTCGCGCTCGGCGACCGGCACGAGGAAGTCCACGACCGTCCCCAGCACCCCGTCGGGCAGCGCCTCGAACCCCCCCGCGGCGCGCAGGCGCTTCGACGGCGCGAGCTCCGCGAAGAACGCGTTGCGCTTCATCCTATAACCCTCAAAGTCCCCAGAATGGCTGGTCTGCTTCACAAAGCGGCACTGCCGGACGCTGGGTCTCTTTTTCCAACGGCGGCCGGCAAGATGTTGGGCGAATGAACGAGGCCTGCCGCCGGTGGCACTGTCAGGTTTAGTCAAATCTGACTAATCGTGACAGCGGCCAGTTTTTGATGAAAGAATGAGTTGAATGTGAGCTCTTGGAGCAAGGTCGGGATTCCGACCTTGCTTTTGCGGGTCGAAAGCTGCAGAAAAAAGGGCAGCATTTCGTTCCCCACACGCCCCGACTGGGGGCGACAGATGCTGCAAAAAAACGGGCAGCATTCCGTTCCCTGACAGCCCCCCCGCCAAGGGGGACTGAGAGGGGTGACGAGGCTTCGGAGGCGCCCCATTCCCTGGACGCCCCCCCGGTGCCTCGCCGACCGGCGCGAGCTTCATCGGTGGCTGGCGGTTACTGATAACCCGCCAATTGAGCCCTGAACAGTCGGGCACCACCTCCACTCGCTGGGACCGCCGTGCCACAACCTAGAGCCTCACCCCGCAAGCGAGGATCATCAGCCCTAGGCCCCGGCTCAGCGTGCCCCACTAGGGTAGAGTAGGGTAGACGCGACGACACGACGACTACAGTTCGTGTGCAGTTAGGCTCCGTGTGCATAGGCTCCGTGTACAGTTAGGCCACAAAGAGTAGCCACGCAGAGTAGCCACAAAGAGTAGCCACAAAGAGTAGCCACAAAGAGTAGCCACAAAGAGTAGCCACAAAGAGTAGCCACAAAGAGTAGCCACGCAGAGTAGCCACAAAGAGCTAGGCTCCGTGTACAGCTAGGCTCCGTGTACAGTTTGGCTCAAGCCCGACAGGGGCTCCTTGTACAGTTGGCTCAAGCCCACGGGGCTCCGTGGCGTGCTTCGAAAACCCTTCCTCTATAGCCCCTAAACTGGCTTTGTTTTACAAGATGATGCTTGATTTTGTTGCACGTCATGGTGATGTTTTTTGCCACCCGCGCCGCGCCTCGAGGAGCAGTGCAGGGTAGGAGGGTCCGGGCGGGTCGGCTTGGGACTGTGGGAGCGTGGGCCCTCGCCTTGGTCGGACGCTTTCAGCGCATGGTTTGAATGGGGCCTTTCTGGAAGCCTAGAGGCCGACCCTTACCCTTCTGTTCAGGTCGGACCGTCTTGGCGTGCCGTGCCGAGCCTGACGGGGGTTCTTTGCTTTTGGAAGGGTTGGAGTTTGTGAGTTTCTGCGAGTGCAAGAGTGCCCTGCGCTGTCCCTTGCCCTGTAACTCTAGAGTGCCCTGCGCCCCTACCCTTCTCCCGGAAACCCCGGGCCCCTTCTCGCGGCCCAGGTGCATCTTCGACTTCGTCTTCGCTGCGAGCCGGGCGCCAAGGGTTGCGGTCTGCGAGGCAGTCAGGAGTGCCTTGTGCTGCCCTTCCTCCCCTCCCCGCCGTAACTGTAGATTCCCCTGCCTCTCCCCCGCCCCCTCCCGGGAACCCCGGGCCCTTTTCTTGCTTCCAGGTCCTCGCCCGTGGTTTTCGCTGCTTCTTCGACACCGTCGTAGTAGACGAGGCCGCGGCAGTTTTGGCTTTTGGACCGAAGGGGTGGCTTTTTTGGGGAGTGAGTGTGCAAGTTCGCTCGGAGTGTGCAGCTATCCATTGCAATAGTCGTCTAGAGTCTGGGCTCGTCCTCATTCGGGTCCTCATTCGGGTCCTCATTCGGGTCCTCATTCGGGTCCTCATTCGGGTCCTCATTCGGGTCCTCATTCGGGTCCTCACTCGGGCTTCTATCCCCGGCCTCGATACCACCCGGCCTCGATACCTGGCTTCTATCCCAGGCCTCGATACCAGGCTTCTATCCCCGGCCTCGATACCTGGCTTCTATCCCCGGCCTCGATACCAGGCTTCTATCCCCGGCCTCGATACCTGGCTTCTATCCCAGGCCTCGATACCAGGCTTCTATCCCCGGGTCCTCATTCGGGTCCTCATTCGGGTCCTCATTGGGGTCCTCATTCGGGTCCTCATTGGGGTCCTCATTGGGGTCCTCATCCCGCCCCGCTCCGGTTTTTGTGCGTGCTCAGGGATTACTTTAAGGCCAATGTATATACTATATGAGTACATGGACCCTTAGGGATTATGAAATCGAAGTGTATACTTTTTTCTCCCCGGTTACTTAAAAACCCAGCTTAAGGTCTAGATGGGTGAAGATAGACATCAGTTCTACCTGGGCTTGAGGGGTTTCGGGTTTTGGGGGCTTGGGGTTTCAGGGTTTACTGGTTTCAGAGTTTACGAAGAAGAGCTGCTGCTCACAGAGACGCTGTTCAGCTTCGGAATAAACGTGACAGCAAGAACGGCCTGGACTCACAGTTTCTGCACAAAGCCTCAGCCCTAAACCCCTAAACTCCTAAACCCTAAACCCCAAACCCCAAACCCCTAACCCTTAAACCCCCAAATCCCTACAGATCTTTTCAAGGAATCCCTTAGAGGAACCTTAAAGAACCCTATAAATCCCTTAAAGGAAACCTTAAAGGAAGGCTTAAATGAAACCTTACAGGAACCTTAAAGAACACTAAAGGCCCTAAACCCCCCAAAAAGCGCCAGTAAAGTTTTTCCACAGGGTCTTTCCGGTGGGCTCCGGATACTTGCGCATGCACGCATAGAGTATAGCGTGCTTAGGAGTTTGGGTTTGGGGTTTGGGTTTAGGGGTTGGGGTTTGGGGTTTTGGGGTTTAGGGTTTTGGGGTTTAGGGAACAGAATGCATTGAGTTTCGGAGGTCTTGCCAGGCATAAGCAACACGCACGTGCAACATCCGAAATTCCCTTGAAAGGGAGCCGGCGCCATATCGCCGCATCACGGCCAAAACAGCCATAGCATCTTGGATTTCTTTAGCAGGAGTTCCCTTATTTATATTGATGTGCAGATCATTAATTAATGCTGGCATTGCTACCATTATTACTGCTGTTTATACCCTCTATTATCAATGTTTACTAATACTACAAATATGATTAGTGTTATGAATAGGATTGATTGTGTTAAAATTCTTGCAATTGCCAATCTGATCACTGTTCTTTTTGTTATTGGAACAGTTTTTGTTGATGAGGAGCATCATGCCACAAGTGTCTGTGTACTGAGGTAGAAGCACGCCTCAGGCGAAGGCGTGGCAGGGGCTGGATGGCGTCCGAAAGCACACATTCTCCTTTCGGAAGCCTCGAAAATATGCAAAACCCTCACCTTAGGGATGCAAATCCTTGCCTCTGGTTTGAATGCCGTTGCAGTGGGTTGCGGCTTGTCAGCAGGTTGAGGACTTGCGCCGGAATGCCATCCCCTAAACCCTCCAGAACAGCAGGCCCACCACCAGGAGCGGCAAGCGACATCCAAGGCAAGCTGCAGTCGCCGTTTTAGGGTTTGGGGTGTACCGTTCAGGGTCTAGGATGTAAGGCTCACGGGTCTAGGTCCCTAGGTTTATTGAGAACAGGCCTCGGCCCCGGCTTTCTCACTCAGGGTCTGGAGAGTGTGTGCGGCGCAGGTCGCGGATCACCCGACAGTCCTGCTCGAGCGGAGCGACCCCAAGCCCGAGAGCAAGGCAAATAGTTCAGGCAGGGGAGAAGGAGTTCGACTCCGCTGCGGTGGAGGACCGCGCAATCATGTCGTAGAGTTCGCCGAGGGATCTGGGCAACAGGAGAGCGTCGCCAAAGCCATTGCAGCGCTAACCTTCAATCACAACCTGCCTCCGTCATACGTCCAGTGCGCAGCCAAATGCCTTGGATTTTGGTTACAATCCAAAGAGCCGCTCTGGGACAATCATGGTCACTGCTTGGAGGTACTTCTTGAGTCAGGAGCCTCAGCTGTGGAAAGCGCAGCAGGACCGGTGATCGGGCGTCCCTCGTTATGCTTTCGCGGTGCAGCTAGGACTGGATATTTCTAATCTCAACCCGAGCTTTTCGTGAGAGAAGACTAGCGCCATCAACAGCATTTGACAGCTTCGTGTCGAAACATCATGCTTGAGGAAGCACTGCTGCGAGCACATTCGTACATTTTGAAAAAAGTCAACAGTACATATGATCCCCAGAGGAGCATGTCCAGTTCTTTACTCGTACCTACGGGCTCACAGACTGGCCGTAGACCGCAAGTGAGTAAACTGCTAGTAGTGAGTCTGCCAACATGCAAGACGCTTTTCACAGATAGCTCCGATCAGATTTCTTCACAGACTTGACTTCCCTTGGAGTTGCTCCGTGAGAGTTGCACAGAGCCGCCCAAAATAAACCGCATGCCAACTTTCCTTCGTCCTTTTAAACCTCGAAAGTCAACAAAAGGGAGAACGTCACCGGCCGACGACAAAGCACTGTGCCATTCAATGCTTCACTGTCTTCGCAGGACTCTGATCACGAGCACGTCTACCGTCCCGGCCTTGTTCAGCTCACTGGCGGGCCTACAAAGGTAAGCCCAGAACCACCGAAGCCTGGTTCAGCTGAGTGCTGAGGTTCGGTCCTCGAACGAGTCCAGCGAGGGCTCCGCGAGGACGGGGCCAGGCCCGGCACGAAGAGGTCCTCAGAGTTTCTTGCGTTGCCAGGATCCGCTACCGAACGTAGACCTGAATCCCAGCCCGGAGGACAGCGGGGTCCCCGGTGAGACGTTATGAGCCGTACAGCGCTGGGAAGCTCCTTGGATCTCTGAATACACGGGTTGCACAAGGGATTTCCATGCGGAGGGAATGCACTGCCCCCAGACGGTCCGGGTGAAGTCCCCAATCGAAGCTCAGGCTCAAGGAATGTTCACATGAAGTTAGCATGAAGCCCGTGAATCGGGATCGGCTTTTCTTTAAAGTCAGGGATGGAGCGTTTTCCGAAGCTCGGAAGGCTCTGGAGGGAGCCAAAATAGAGTGGAAGCATTCCTCTCTGGAGCAGAACTTTCTCTTCTTCGCGGCAGCCCGAGTACGCCCTGGGTCCGAACAGCTGGCGAAGCTGTGTGTAAAGATGGGGGTAGATCTGGCAGAGACAGACAAGCACCAG